TTTTTTTTTTTAAGGGGCGGAGGGAGGGGCATTATTCGGTATTTTTCTGTTGATTCGACATAGTTTCAAATGGCCAGCACCCTCCAGATTCCTGCACATTGATTTCTCGGAGATGATAGGATTCCCGTGTAAAACCAAGGAAGTGTGAACGGTGAGATGGAGCTCAGAGCGGAGTTAGGAAGGAAACCTAACCCTAGCTGAGGAGATGCGATCTTTAGCAAAGACTTCTCGGGGGTCGTCAGTTTTCCAAAGACAGTCTTTTTTTTCCCCACTGCATGTGCCAGCCATTTTGCAAATCGAAAATAAGCAGCAATACCGCCGCCCCACCCTTTCTGGTACTCTTTCTATTGTTTCTAATCCAGAAGCAAAATGCACGCTGAGCTCGTTCCCTTTGGTGTTTCTAGTACGGCAGAGGGAGAATAAAACCTTCAGAACACCATTCTAGTTTCCGTGCTCAACCTCTTGGGCTGCCCAACATGGCGCCTCTGCAGTGGCTACAGATGATGTCTTCTTAATGCGTCCTACATATTTATGCAGAAGTCTTTAATGATAGATGAGCAATTCTCAGCTAAAGCTCCTCCCTGGGTTTCTGCAGCGGGTTGTCGCGGGGCGGAAGGGAGCTGGGGATGACTAATCGTGACTCCCACAGGTCACAGCTGAAGAACAGCTGAAGGTGAACGGAAAACAAGAAGTAAACATCCAAAGCAAGCCGAAGGGGCGGGGGGGTTGTGAACTTAAGTCTTCAGCTACCCGAGGTGGCTGCGCATTCAGGCAGCGGGGAGGCAGGGCTTGACTTTCCCTTCTTGTGTCGGTCAGAGTTCTAGAGAAGAGGCAGAAGCCCGGGGATACCATCGAACTGACGGAAGATGGGAAGCCCATGGAAATGCCCGAGAAGAAAGCCCCGCTTTGTGACTGTACCTGCTTCGGGCTGCCCCGGAGGTACATCATTGCCATCATGAGTGGACTGGGATTCTGCATTTCCTTCGGGATCCGATGTAACTTGGGAGTGGCCATCGTGGACATGGTCAATAACAGCACCATACACCGAGGAGGAAAAATTATTAAAGAGGTGGGAATCCTTCCCTCTTAACTCCCATGCCCTCTCGGTGCACTTTCCAGCTTCAGACCAGGCACCTCAGCGCAGGCAGCCGGGCTCTGCCGCAAGGATGCTCCCGTGCCGCCCCTCGGCTCTGCCCGCCCCCCGCCGCCCTTGGCCCGGAACGTTCGCTGGGGAAAGATAAATAATTTCTGCCAATTATTTCTATTTTTCAATTGTAGTTCCCAGCGCAAAGCCGTTTGGGGCAAGAATGAGAGGGCAGATAAGTTTTCCTTTTGCACATCACGTAGGAAAACACATATCTCGTAAAATAAACATAGGGAAAGGAAGACACCGAATAAACCGACTGTAAGAGGGTGAAACGTAAACGGGGAGGTTATGCAGGAATGTTTGATAAAGCAGGATTAAAGAATTTGCATTGAAAAGGCGTTAATTGCCGTGTTAAATCTGCTTAGTGGGCGAGAGGCGGTGTGACACTTAGACGAGTAACGGGACAGCAAGCCCACAGTCATCCCTGCTGGGGGGGTCTGCACGATTCTGCTGCTCTTCCATCCGGGGGACGGCCGGTGTGGGTGAGGTGAGGATCCAGTAGGAAGGGGTGGCAGCAGGAGCTCCTTGTCCCGGGTGCCATGGCTGGCCTCATGAATCCCTCGACCGGCATGGTGAAGCTTTTTACGGGAACTTTCTTTAATCTAGCACGATTACAGCTTTCCTCTTCTCTTTTTTTCCTTTCTCTCCCGGGTTCCTTGGCTCTGGAAGAAAGCGAAGTTTAACTGGGATCCTGAGACGGTTGGCATGATCCACGGTTCATTTTTCTGGGGCTACATAATCACCCAGATCCCCGGAGGGTATATCTCGTCCCGACTGGCAGCCAACAGGTAACGACGACCTAAATCTCCCCAGTTTCATGCACGGGGGTGGACAAAGGGGCGGCTCCTGGCCCCCCGTTCTCCCCGCCCGGGGCGGCTTCGAAAAAACCTCCGCCCGGCCGGGATGTAGGAGCTCTAAAGAAGGAAAGTAGGAAATCTGGAGAAGTGGCTGTTTCCACCCTCCTTCCCAAACTGCTCGCTGGTTTCGCGAGGGATCTCGGCGTTTCTTTTCTCGTTATTTTCTCGTTCAAATTAGCTCGGGGAGGTTGTGGCAGCGCCGTTCTAAAGAGCCGCATTCAGAGGCAAGTTCAAAGATTCATTGTTTCCTCAAAGCCTGAGAGATTATTATTATTATTATTTTTCCCGAAAGAATGTTTCTTTTTGGTGTTTTTTTTTTTCTTTTTTTTTTCCTGTGAAAATCATCGGCAGGAATTTTCCATTAACGCAAACGAACGTAGAATGGTCGAAAAAACACGTTTCCATGAGACTTACACAATGAAAAGAAAGTGCAGATGGTGCGGGGACTTAAGGACTGGTTTCTATGGTGTCTGGCCATTTTTCAAGCACCCAGGGTGCGATTCTACCTGTTAATTAGATCCGCTGAGTATTCAAGACACATGACGCTTTCACATCCATTCTTAATGCCCCAGGCTCATCGGTCGGCGAAACAGCAAAGGTCCTAGTGCCAGTCTTCAAAACCATAACAAACTAAGTGTAAATGGATACTAAAATCAGCAATATATACCTTTATCTCTTCTCAGAAGTGTTCAACATCAAAGGTAGGCATAGGCTGATGGAGACGCTTTGCTTGGGAAGAAAGCTGGTTTGCATTTGTTTGAGAAAGAGGGGAGATATGGCAAAAATACCCTCCCCAAGGTGAATGCCTTTTAGACAGATATCTACGTTACAGATAATTTGTAACTGAGATAATCCTCCATTGATAAAGAAACCCAGAATGCAACGTATATATTGAAGTGGGATATGCATTGTCTGTGAATTTACAGGTGCCATCTTTTTGTTAATAGCTCAGAAACCTTAAAAGGCTATTTCGAATAACAATTAATAGCTGCCTAAAAGGTTCCTTCTTCGAGCTTTTTTTGCATCTTTGCAGAGCCTAACTTCTCAGGATCAATGGAAGTCTTACCTGAGTTAAGACTGACGAATCTGACTCAGAGAAACAAAAGCCTGTCCTTGTTTGCCCTAGTAATGTCAGTAATTAGAATCGATACAGATTTAATGTGGCGCAGCTACAAAGATTTACAAGACGAAAGCACGGAGTCCCAAGAAATCTCAGTAGTTTGTTTACACATTCTACCTGACCTTGGTCAATCAAGTTTTCTTCCTCTTTATGGGTATTTACACTTACATCAGTAAAGACAGGCCAGTTCTAATTGCTAACCTGGACATATTTTAACTCAATTTGTCATAGATTCATGATGTGTTATTAGCATTGTGAAAACTTCTGAAACAACAACAACGAGGGAAACAACCAGATAAACCACAGATTAATGAACTAGCTGCTAGTAATTGCAAACGGTAAAGTATAGATGGTGACTGTGACTTTGATTTAGTTTGCAGATAAAAAATGACTTAGAACAGAGACTTGGATTGTTAGATATAGTGGCTGGAACAACAACACATCAAGGAGTCCAAACCCTGCTACAGATTTTGACATCTGTATATTCAGCTTGAAATGAAGGGGATTGCTGTAGGGTCACATGACACTCAAAATAAGGTGCAAAGCTTGATGTCTACACCTTTTCCAAGAAACCCCACATCAGAAGAAGTCAGGGAGCCTAAAGTACCATTAGAGGCTATATTACATCATAAGCTGTTAGGTTCTGTTGTTTTATATATTCTTCAGCCTCAACCGCTCCATTCAAACTATGGTGGATGAGAGACAAGACTTTTTAAAAATTATTTTAAGCATCACTGAATTTGTGACATCATCAGTTTCCTTTGCACTCAGAGCAAATTTGAATTTATATAGAAAATATAACTTCAGATATCCTCCACATAAAAAAATAAGTCTCTACCATAGCATCACCAGGTTCAAGACAAGCTATGAAAAACAGTCCTTAGCTGAAGAAAAATCTAGATTTTTCAAGAGGGAGAGTAATTCATTTCCTGAGAGTGGAAAAAAAATAATTATTGTTTCAAAAGATGATAATGTGAACGAAAAATTGATTCTCAAGTGTCAACAGTCTCAAGGATGGAGACTGGGAAGAGGCTTAAGATGTGCTTTGTGAGCTTTATTTATTAATAGGGAGTAGCAAAGTGCACAGGACTGAGTTTGTTTGACATTAGGATTCAGTCTAGCAACCAATTATAGAGATTCGGTTGATAGGACGTGAAAGTGTCACTAAGACATAACACTGGAAGAAATGACCCTCCTGTGGTATCAAGTAAACCTTTCTACACACAGTGCAGTCATTTCAAGCTGGGCTGAAACCCTTTATTTTGATTCCACCCTTATTTTAAAATGCCTTCCGCTAATCAAGAATTAGCAACACTGAGCTCTGAACTCTCTAATATATTTTCTTTTCAATGGAGCTTGTAAATGGGTAGCATTTAACTGAGATTCTTTGCTAACTGTATAACTCAAGGCTCCTGCTGCACAGATATTCTGTTCTGCTTTGAACCATTGCTCTTATCATGCATAGACCCCATTACTTCTGACACATCACATATAGTGATTCACACACATACAGTGATTTACTACGGAAGTAGTAAATGGAGTTTCTCATAACTTTGCTGTTGATAGCTTTGGCCTCAATTAGTGTTCATCACTGATAATTTTGTTACAGTCTTCTCAGCCCAGCATTTAGGAAAATGCTTTATTTTAGGTATACATTTATAGAAGGTTTACACTGCTATAGAACCAAAGTGATCAAATAAAACCACCTTTGAAAATTCCGGAGAGAGCTGAGAAATGCTTCCTCAGAGCACTTACTTTGCCAGTGGTCAGTGGCACTTAAAATCAGGGAATCAAAGTTGGAAAAGAACTCCAAGATCATCCAGATAAACTTCCACCAGCCACCAATATTTTCTCACTAAATCACATCCCTTAGCAAAACATCTAAATGTTTCTTGAACACTTCTGGAGGTAGTGACTCAAACACCTTTCTGGGCAGCCCATTCCAGTGCCTGACCACTCTTTTGGAGAATAAATTTTTCCTAATATCCAACCTGAACCTTCCCTGGCACAACTTGAGGCCATTCCTTCTAGTTCTATCACTAATTACATGGAAGAAGAGACTAAACAAACCCAGGTCAGTGAACCTGTCAACCTTTGTTTACTTCCATAAAAAGAAGGAACATTCAGCACATTCCAAAAGACGTGGACTTGGGCTTCAGGTGAGCCCTCATTTGCAATTAGTGAAGCTTTAAACTTGTAACTCTTCAGTCTTGTGTGGAAATAAAGGATTCCCTTTTGCTACAAGGCTAAAGAACTCTTCTTAAAGCGGAGGGCTGGAACATGGTAGGCTGAAGGAACAAAAGAAGTGCAATGTGGAATTCTGTTTGTAGGGTTTATTTCAGCAATATCTTTTCTCAAGGTCAATCAGCAATGCATCTTGCCATCAAGGAAGCATTACACAATGATAGCAGAGAGAATTGAGATGTGCTCTGAACTACTAGAGAAAGTGTTTTGTCACAAAGCATCCAGCACAGTTTGTATTTAATTGACGTTATTTCTCATGGACAAATTTATGTACAGCCTTATACAACAATTCTCTTCTCCCCATATTGCTCTACAATGGGAGTAGAATTGTTTCTGTAGAGATGTTTATGTAAATATCTTCATCAAGAATAAAAAACAGCAATGATTTAGATTCAAGTCCAAAGTAAGATAAATGTTTGTTGGTTAAATGCATTCTGATTAGTAGTATCAAAGTTTTCTCTCAAAAGAATGAATAAAAGGTGATAGTAATTTTTTAGATTACTGGGGATTCGGTGCTGTGTTTTTCACTAAAGTCACAGTGAATTTTCAATAGTTTGAGTGGGGTTTCTGTGAGAAGAACCTGAGATATTTTTGCTTTGTTTATAGGTATTTTTCCTTGAAAAAGTGCAAGGAAGCACATAAACTCAACTCTTATGCACTAATACAATGTATCCAAACTAGGTAATTAGCAGAGCTGTTACTCATAGTGCCAGATAATGCCATTTAAGAGCATAAGTCTCATTTTAATGCTTTTAAACTACAGGTTTGCATGTGAGCATGAGAACAGCTCTCTCCAGAGAGGCTATCATTATGCAATTACTTTGCTGTGAATAGAAACATTATGAAACCCTCACTCTTCTAAACACACTAAGTCTTAATTTCTACCTAGGTCATTAAAATGACTTTAGCTGGGATTAATCAGACTTTACCTCTTCTTAATAAATTTTAAAAAAGGAATAATTCTCAGTGGCTGAAGACCTCTTATTAAAAGAAAGAAAAAGAAATTGGTGCTTTGGTAGTCTTCAAATTTAATTTGAGTATTTGATTTAAATGGAACACGATGACCAAGATGTTTAAATGCTTTAAAATAATTCTAGGGATTTTCTCTCTCCAAGAACATGCTTTTCTCTGCCTGTATATTGTAGAAGACACCAGGTTACCAGGATATTTGCCCAAGTCAAATGTGGTGTGATGGAGCCCCTTCTTGTGTTTTTCACAACCCAGTGAATGCCTGCAGTTAGGCTAGTCATACTCTACCAGTGTGATTAGTCTGAAGAGATTAATGTGCAAGTAATGTTCAAGGACATATCTACTGCTATGATAATGCTAAGCAGTCCTTAAACAAGACCTATTTCTATATTCACATTTCATCAGCTATTTCAGGAATGCTGATAAGCTCATTAATAAAAAATATATTAAGATATATTAAAGATAGCTTGGTAAAGATTTTGTTCAAAATAGTACATATTAGTCTCAAATGCAAAGTAACATCAGGGAGTGGGAAAGCTCTGGAAAGCTGTGATGCTGAGTGAGATTTTAAGCTATTCTATGTGATCCTCTTGTAAGG